GGTACAAGAGGTACATATATATACATATTTACAATAATTATGGACAAGCAAAGATTACAGGAGGACAGACAGTGTCAAAAATTTTGGTGATAAATATACACAATTTTCTTAAGAATGATGGATCAGTATTTGTCAATAAATTACAAAATTTTATAACATTTGGATGTACATAGTATTTCTTTAACAGAAAATCTTTTGGAATATTACATAATACATTACATTCCAGTAAGTAATGAAATTCGTCGACTAAAAAGTAGGTCACCTTGACCTACTTTTTGAATTTTATAGCTAATGTTTTTCAAAACAATTAAGGTCATTAATTCGAATACTGAGAGGTTTAGAATCATGAAATCTTGTAAGATGATGCATCTTGGGGCCATAAAACATATTTATTAAAAAGTAGGTCACAGTGACGTACTTTTTGAACTTTGCAGGCATTCGATTTCAAAGCGTTTTAGAGGCATAATTTGGACATTTTAAGGCCTATGATCATAAAACTTTGTAAGTTGATGCATCTTGGGTCCTCAAAAATTGTCAACTGAAAAGTAGGTCACCGTGACCTACTTTTCAGTTTATATAACTACATGTATAATTAAATATTTCGGGTACTAATTGGCTTAGAATCATCAAACTTTATCAGTTAATGTATCTAAGGTCTTCGGAGTAGGTCGACTGAAAAGTAGGTCACCGTGACCTACTTTTGAAAATTTATGGCTTTAATGAAATACTTCTGGTACTAATTGGCTTAGAATCATCAAACTTCGTCAGTTGATGCATCTTGGGTCCTTGGAGTAGGTCGACTGAAAAGTAGGTCACCCTGACCTACTTTTCAATATATTTAACTATAATTAAATATTTCGGGTACTAATTGGCTTAGAATCATCAAACTTTGTCAGTTGATGCATCTTGGGTCTTCGGAGTAAGTCGGCTGAAAAGTACGTCACCATGACCTACTTTGGAAAATCTATGGCTTTAATTAAATATTTCAGGTACTAATTGGCTTAGAATCATCAAACTTTGTCAGTTGATGCATCTTGGGTCCGCAGAGTTAGTCGACTGAAAAGAAGGTCACTGTGTGACCTATTTTAGAAATTTTATGGCTTTATTTAAATATATCAAGTACTTATTGGCTTAGAATCATCAAAATTTGTCAGTTGATGCATCTTGGGTCCTCAAAGTATGTCATCTGAAAAGTAGGTCACTGTGACCTACTTTTGAAATTTTATGGTTATAATTTTGAAAATATTTTAGTTATTAATTGGCTAAGAATCATCAAACTTAGTTGATGCATCCTGGGTCCTCAGAGAACGACAAGTGATAAGTAGGTCACCCTGACCAACTCTCAGGTACTAATTGGCTTAGAATCATCTTGGGTTCTCAGAGTGTTTCATCTAAAATGTAGGTCATTATGACCTACCTTTGGAATTTCAAGGCTTTATCTATCATATACAGGATACTTAGAGGCTTCAAATAGAAGTGATAGGTTGTACAGTTTATCCGAAGAGCGATTCAAGGCCCTTGGGCCTCTTGTTCCAAACATTACATAGTCCTGCAGTGTTAAGAATATTCTGTATGCAAGATATCCATGGATTATTAATCCCATTTTGGTATATTTATTATAAAGATTTAAATAAATAATTCTAGAAAAATCTTATTCTCATTTCCATGTAACAGTTTTCCCCAGAAAGATATCATTCTTGTATAAATGTGTACGTACATCGGGTAACGTCCAGTCTCCCCGTATACCATAAAACTAGGTGTACTAGATTTTAGGTTTAAAATATATTTCAAAAATCTTAAATGAAGACGTTCAATAATATCAATATTTTCAAATCCACATATTTCGCACCCATATAACAAAACAGGAACAACAACTTTCTCAAACAGATCTAGCTGACAATCAAAAGGTAGATTATATAAACGAATTTTTCTTATAATGCTGTACATTGCTTTTTGTGCTTGATTACATAAGTGTTTCTTAGTCTTTGAAAATGACCCTGATCTTGAAAATAGAATACCTAGGTAATTGAAATCTTTTACAGTTTCTAAAACATCGTTGTTGTATTTAAATGTATGATTGGGTGATGGTCCTTTTGAAAAAATGACAATTTTTGTTTTTTTAACATTAACATGGAGTTTCCATGTTTTACAGTATACAGAAAATTCATTTAATGCATGTTGTAAATCATTTGCAGTATCATCTGCATAAAATAATATAAACAGTTTGATAAAAACGGTAAGATCATCTTCCATCTCTTTAGACAAACTTTCTAAGCCGTTAACATTCCTTTCTGTAAGATAATTTTCTAAGTCATTGATATACAGAGAAAATAAAAAAAAGGGATAGATTTTCACCTTGTCTGACCCCGACATTGCAGGTGAAATATTTAGAAGACATACCATCCACATTTATTCTTGATTTTATGCCTGCATACATATTTCTAATGTAAGTGAAACACTTCCCACTAACACCATTTGAAAATAATTTGTACCAAAGACCACCTCTCCAAACAGTATCAAAAGCCTGTTTAAAGTCGATGAACGCACAATATAACCTTTTTTTGCTATTTATAAGTGCTTGTGACAGAAAATGCAAAATCAATATATTATCTAAAGTAGAGTACCCTTTTCTGAAACCTGTTTGACTTTCGTTAATCAGACTGACATTTTCTGCATAGACTTCTAATCGTTTTTTTCAAAATACTAGTGAAAAGTTTCCCAAGGCAGCTCAACAATGTGATCGGGCAGTAGTTCTCGGGTTGTGTTGGGTCTCCTTTATTCTTATAAATAGGTTTTACAATGCCTATAATCCATTCTTCCGGTACTGTCCCAGAGTTAAAAATTAGAGTAGACAACTTCTCGTATAGAGACAGAAACAGTGAAATTGTGGTACTAATATGTTCATTAAGAATATGGTCACTTCCGGGAGATTTGTTATTTTTTTTAGGTCTTTTACGGCGGCCAAAATTTCATCTTGCGTAATTGGACAATCAAGTATTTCATTATATCTACTTTGTTCAGTTATGTTAATATTGAATCAGTTTCCTCTAAATTGGCTTCATTAATATTTTTGAAAAAGGTATAGAGATTATTTAAATCAGCTGTACATTTGTTATTTATATTTTGGCTATTTAATATTTTCCAGTATTCGTTTGTGTTGTTTGTTCGCAATTTTTTAATTTTCTGAGAGAGATCTTGTCTGTAGTTGTTTATTGATGAATCCATTACTTTTTTTATACTCTTTGCTAGCTAGTTTTAGATTTTCTTTAGAATCTTGGGTTTTAATTCTATTATACATACGTTTAGCTAAGTGAAATTTTTTCTTGCCGTGCTACGTAACAATAACAATTAAACCACGGTTTTTCGGGTTTTTTCTTTGTGTTTTTTATTTTATGTTTAATCCCAAACGATTCTTTAGCTGCGCTTAAAAACACATTGCAGATTTTTGACATTACACTGTTCAAATGCTCTTTTTCCAGCCCATTTTCCAAATTCATTACAAACAATTCATTTTATTTTCATTTAAGTAGTTTACGGGAACTGAAGCGCATCAATACACATGGAACGAAGTGTAGAGTTAAAACTTCTCTGGTTACAGTGAGGAGACGGAAAACCTTCCTAATGCCATAGAAACGAGTTTATATAAAATAAAAAGGTTGTATATATATATATATATATATATATATATATATATATATATATATATATATATATATATATATATATATATATATATATATATATATATATATTGCAAAAGTGGGTCAAACTCCAAGATCAAAGTCAAGAGGTCAGATATATTCTTACCCAAAGAAAGGTCTTTTCACAAGGAATACACATGTGGAATATTAAAGCCATAGCTTCAACCAATCAAAAGATTAACGGTTGTAACCATATTGCAGAAAAAGAATTATTTATATATCCTGCTAACCATATTTATGTACTTTTCCTGCAATACGGCTGCATGCAAATGTTAATTCTGCATTAACAGAAAAAAATGTAGTCCATACATATGTTTTCACCGATTATTAACCATCTCAGATGTTAGGCCGAGGTATCAGAGCCGAGGTGTCAGACATGACGGGCCGAGATGTCGCTGGGCCGTGACGTCTAACTACCTTAACTTGTTTACACCTGTTTGCTTCAAACTCCCCGTCGAGGCCTCATCTAGAGAGATTGGTTTGTGAGCAAACAAACTCTGGCGGAAGTTTGCTGTTTGCTTATGTAAAAGTGGGACGAAACCACTGGGGTCGTAACTACGCGGGTCGAAAACTGAATTGAAAATAACCACCCAATACCCATCCAATAAGTACCCGAATAAAGGTTTCTAATCAAGGTCTAATTTGGAGGCTCTCCATGTCAAGTGATAGATAACTTAATTAGGAGTCGGGTAATAATTTGGCAAACTAGTAGTTACATTTGTTTTATTATTTTTTAAATTATAAAGTTAAATTTTAAAGTACTTTTTTCATCCGACAAAGCTCCAGTTGCAGTCTCTAGAAATGAGAAAAACATGTATATTTTACTTATTTATTTATTTATTTATTTATTTATTTATTTATTTATTTATTTATTATCATTATTATTTTGAAGATTTAAACTGAATATTAAATACAGTACGCTATATTAGTATCACTATAAAATATCGTTTATTTACTTACCATTTTGCTCAAAAGACAAGTATCTTATATTAATAAAACAATTAAAGAAAAAATATAAATGGCGGGAAATAGTTTTTTTTTTTTTAATGAAAACAATAATATATACAATTAAAGTAATCCAGAATGGTTCATGGAATAATAAAATATGATACAGAAGTCACTAAAACTCAATAATTACTATTAACAAGAGATATAATTATCACTCATCTTTACATTGCCTTCGGCTCGAATCGTCATGGGACGAAATGTCTCAGTGCGATTGGTCTTTAGGGCGAACCGTCCCACATTTGAACAACTCGGGATCGGAATCCTCAAAAACCCGAAAGTGTCTGCAGCTATCAATATTTTATTATCATGATATCAATTGTTTCCAGAAATCGATAGCGTTTTCTTGGTACTAATGGTAGTCCCAGCATTGTGAGTGATTAACATAGTTACTGAAATGTAATTTTAGTTTAAAAAATGCTTCACAAACAGAAACTTTATTTTAATTTCAGTTTGAAAAGCAAGCTTATTCATCGGTCATTATCATGATCTTGATGTCCGCTGCTATATTACATCTCTATCAAGGATAGTTTCCAGGTTGCCATGACAACATAATAAGCCTTAAGTAAGTGTATTTGTTATTTTTGTATTTAAAAGTAGATTACCAAGGTGATGAGGTTCATATAAAAGAGAAGAAGGAGAAGTTGCTAAATTGTAGCTGAACCATAATAATATTAGAAACAAATAGCAGAGGCGGCTGAATCTCCTCAGTTAACTTTCTGAGGACATGGCAGGTTCAAAATATATCCTTGAGAAGCCTATTTCGGTGGTATCAGCAAACTACGTGATAAAATAATCTTAACGAGATTGATTAAAATAAAACAAATGTGACTTACCTCTGAAGGACTCTTTATTTGATCAAATTATATCCATATTGTCTAACTAAAAAAAATTTTTTTTTTTTGCGATTTCTTTATTCTTTGTTGTTAATTTACGTAAGCACAACCGCTGAGGTACCTAAATCCATGGTATGGTACTTGTCAAAAGTTTTTACCTGAATAACATCAACCACAGTCATAACTTTATGTATAACATTAAATTGTACAAATGAACAAAGGGATAAATTACAATTTTATTCAAGTTTTATTCATTTTTATGGCAGGGACAGATAAATTCATTACCCTGTGTCTCATTACTTTAGTTGTGCAGCAAAACTGCAAGTGGGTCCAGTGGTCGCATTTTTCAAAGCTACACTGCATGGGCTCACTTCACAAAAACAACTAAGTCACAGTCCTTAATCTCCTCTGGCCAAAAGTGTTTGCAAACACAGCACTTCTCATTTTCATCTTCTGTATCATCAGTATCAGATGATTTTTTCCGCACACATGATGGATAAGGCTTTTCGGAAACACCATTTTTTCTTTTCTTGCTGCATAATTCCTTACCTGTAGAAGTGTTTGTTCTTTTCTTTTTGATGTTTGTTTTGTTGCTGAGTAGTTTTTCATTTCCAAAACATCCAAGGTCTAAAGATAGTAGAACATGACTAGTATGAGCAGGCAAAACTGGTGTGTTACTTTGCCCAGTCTACAAGCATGAGATTAATGTGCGACTTGTGTCCATCGTAAAGAATGAGGATAGGTTGGTTTTCACTGGGTCTTTGAACATATTCAAGGAAATGTTCAGACAAATAAGTTTGAAAGACTTCCGAGTTCGATCAACCACTGTCTGTAACCGTGTTTTGAGGACCCTCAAACGCACCATCCATCAATTCCTGTCTCATTTATGCCCTCTGGAAAATGAAATACAGAGGCATCTGTGTGCCTAACGCATTGCCACAACCTATGACAGTTACTGTAGAAGATCTGGCCGATGTTATAGCAGGTGTTGTTAACATTTTAGAACCCATGATGCAGGGTGGTGTGTGTTCTGTTTGTAGCCCCTTTTCATCTATGTTATATATGCACTGATCGAGGTTTATCGAATAGGTCATACTTCTTAAGAATGCATGGTGTCTTATTCTTGAAAGTAATTTGAGACTACTTCTTCAGAGGATGACTTTGCCCTGGCAGCTGATAATGCACAAGGCTTTGAAACATTCAGTTCTGGCCACGGCATCACAAAGCCCTTGAACCTCTTCATTGAAAATAGATGATTTCTATCATGTTTCTGCAAACTTCAGGCATATTCTGAGGCCATGTTAACTACTTCTGATCTAGTGTAGCCATAGCCACAACTAGCCATAACCTTTAGATGGTCAACAAATGCAGCTTCTTCCTCTAGCGAAAGAACAGGAGAAACTCCAGACGTTAATTTCCCAGGGTCAACTCTCCCCAATGCCCTTTGTCTAAGTGTGGTGTCTGGAACACAGTAAACCCTAGCTGCTTTTCGCACACACATCCGATGCTCCTTAATTCGTCATAGACGTTGGGGAGTATGGTCTGTATTTTTATGCTACTTTATCTGATGCAATCATAAATAATAAATTAATTTATTTATTGATTTATTATTTATTTATTCTACTTATCTACATGATACTATATATACTTTAAAAATGTTTTTTTTTAGATTTCTGAACTAGTTTTCTATGTAATTGTTTAATGACTAACTTTTTACCAAAAACACAATATATTATTAAACCATTTTTTGTCAAAACACTCAAAAAGATACAACGGACATCGACTTTTGGGCATCCTCTGTATTTTAACTAAATTATGATAGTCACATGACTTGAAAGTGCAGACAGTAAACTGCGTCTGGAGTTTGTATTTCAACTAAATATTTCTAAAAAGTCTATATTATTTAGAAGGAAGTTACATTTGGATATTTTTAGCATTAAGAAAATAAGGTATTTTATGTAGATATGACAATAACAGCTATTTACTTATACATTTCTTAGACATTTTGAGTTTTGTTTCACTGAGTCATAAGCTTCTGTGTTTACAAACACTACCAAAAAATTGATGACATCAGATCTCGCACTATAAGAAAACAGGTGTGCCCAACGGGAAATACCACCGATTTAGGAACCCCACCGATTTAGGACCCTCGACGATAAAATGTATGATTGAGCAAACTATACAGATAAATGTTCAGACTACTTTTCTTTAATCAGTAATTCAAAGTTATTCTAACTCTTGAGTGATTGGCTCTTAATACAGCGCAATCAGCTCTAGATAGAATGTTCTACAGTAAAACTTGTATAGTAAGAACACAGATATAGCGAATTTACGGATATAGCAAAGTTTTTTGCAATCCCCAGCGAAATCCTTAACAATTCCTTGTAAAATTTTATGGATATAACAAACTTGGATATAGCAAGTTTACTGTTATAGCTAACTTATTTTGTGCCTCCTAGAAGTTATAAATAATGAAATTTACATCATTTATAGCGAATTTTCAAAGGTCTAAATTTTTAAAATATTGAACTGACCTTAATTTTGTAAGTATTTGTATTTGAAACTCAATTCATCCAAAAACTATTGAACTCCAAGGTAAATTTTGTATTTTATACTCCCCTAAACATATTTGGTAGTCATACTTGTTTAAAAGAAATCTATATTGCGAATTTGCTTTAAGGAATTCATTATTCGGATATCAACATATATCATGTAAATTTGAAGTGAGCAAAAAAGTTGAGGAAAAAGTGTTGAATTCTTCCATTTTATGGATTAAATTTTTGATTGAAAGGTATCCACAATCTCAGAAAGGGTTGTTACAATTAATTTGATAGCTGTTTTCAATGCAACCTCTTTTATTTTCTCTAAAACCATTTTGGAGTGATTCTGCAATTTTTTGCTACTTAGCGGGTATATGGGAGGCATTCTAACTGTGGTGAGGGCCTGTCCCGAGACACAGTTAGATTCTAATTAGATCAGCTTTTATAAATCCTGGCTCTTACAGGCTTCCACAGTCTTTTAATAATAAATAATATCTAAAGCCAGGGAAGAATTGTTCAGTCATGTTTAAAGCTTTAAATATTTATTTATTATCCTTAAATGAAATTTACCTCTGGTCATAAATGGTCTTCTTGTCACCTTGCTGACTTAGCATTAACTTTACAATTTACTCAACTGTGTTGCTTCAATTATGATTATACCCTACCGTATATACTGGCTTATAAGTCGGTTGTACTTTTTCAGCATATTTTGGGTGAATTTGCCCTTGACCCGCTTATAAGTTGGTAAACTTAAGATATTTGCCAGAAACTGTTACTAATTTCAGACTAATATTTTGTTGTATTTACAAGTGTTTCAAAGTATATTTTGGGGTATGTCATCAATGTTTAATCTTATATCAATTCCACAAATATAAGTTCATTAAAATTTGTAAGTAGGTGTTGTTTTATGCATGTGGTAAATTTAGCTGCAGAACTGTAGCTCTCTGCTTGAGAAAATTCGGACAGACAAAGCAGAGAGCTACAGATCCAAGCATTGTAAAAACCTTCGATTTACGCCGCCGCTTTTTTGTCGCTTGCTTCGGGTATTATTTCTTGTATTTAATGCTTTTCCCCACTTTAAAAACAGTATCCAATAATTAACCATATATTTTACTCATATTCCTGATACTTTATTTACCTTTCAACGGTTCCAGACGGCCGTATGTGGTTTTTGAATATCAGTAAAAAAAAAATGCATTCCGACGTCGACGTTGGTGTCATCCTAAAATAACACGCCCGAGTTTTATTTATTTAATTTCTTTTTTACATACGTATTGTATTCTTTGTAGACATTATACATGCTATTTGAACCTCCTGAATTTTTTATTTACATTTTCTCGGCAAGTAGATCTATATGTTTTTTGAAAGACATTTTTTTCGCACGACCCCAAACATGGACGTCGGAATGGTGATTTTTTAAACCGACATTCCAAAACCATTAAGGGCTGTTTGGGACCTTTGAAAGGTAAATAAGGTATCAAGAATAGGAGTAAAATATATGGTTAATTATTGGGTACTATTTTTAAAGTGGGGGAAAGCATTAAATACAAGAAATAATACCCGAAGCGAGCGACAAAAAAGCGGCGGCGTAATTCGAAGGTTTTTACAATGCTTGGATCTGTAGCTCTCTGCTTTGTCTGTCCGAATTTTCTCAAGCAGAGAGCTACAGTTCTGCAGCTAGTGGTAAATTTAGACTTTCCTTTCCTGCATTATATGAAGTCCGGACCTTAATTAATGATAGTAATTAGACTTGTTAAATTATAATATTTCCTCTTCCAGAGAAATACCAAACTGTCTAGGACTCGCCTATAAGTTGGATATAGAGTTTGGACAAAAATTTAACTCCCCAAAAAACCGACTTATAGGGGAGTATATATGGTATGTGCCAATCAATGCTGCCTAACAAAAGCATTAAAATACCATTTAATTGTACTGGAATAAATATTTCCGAATTGTCTCATTACCCACTCTTCAAAATCTTTATTACCTCTCATGCTTATTTTTTTTTAGCTCACCTGAGCCAAAGGCTCAAGTGAGTTTTTCTGATCAAAGAGTTTCTGGCGTCCTTCTATTGTCTGTCGTCCATCGTCTGTCATCTGTAATCTTTTCACATTTTTTGACTTCTTCTCAAGAACCAGTGGGCCAATTTCAACCAAACTTTCAACAAAGCATCCTTGGGTGAAGGGGAT